TCATTGCTTTACAGAATGTGGTCGACTCTTTTGTCTTTTTCAGTTACTCGCTCAGATGTTGATTTTGTTGAATGTGGTTTTTTCAAAGTCAATGTTCATTTTGGGTTGTAGGTACAGCCAGAAGCAAAAGTGCAAAAGTCAGCTTTTGAATTTTTTGTTGGGGCAGGCTAAAATGGCCATCTACCTCAGCAGGAGGAATAAAGTTGCGGAGTCATTGGATACCGATGCAGTTTTGATTTTCAAGCGGATGGTAAAAGCAAGACTAAAACGGACTACAGTTACTTTTGTTTAACCAAAAATGTGGGAGAATTTGAGGCCATGTGGTGTCTTAAAAATGCTTTGTGTTCTGTGGTGAATGAGGATCTTATTTTCAGTCGTTTTCTGAACTGACAATGTGTCTGTTTGGTTATTTGCTTTGTGAATAAAAGTGGTTTGAAAAATCAAAAAAAAAAAAAAAAAAAATCTCTCTCTCTCTGTCTCTGTCTCTGTCTCTGTCTCTGTCTCTGTCTCTGTCTCTCTGTCTCTGTCTCTCTCGTCCCTGTTTTGTGTATGTGTTTTATACAACATATAGGTCTATTACGCAGTCTAACTTCACCAAAGCACCAGCATCATCATGATTATAATATGACAATATGGCAGGCAGTGTAAAAAACACCAATGTTCTTTTATAGCCAGAAATGTCTGAACTTGGTCTACTGCTAATGTCTGGCATTAATGATTCACTCTACGGACATTAATGGATCCAGTGAGCTCCCAATTTGATCTAACAAAGGTCAGCAGAGGAAAAACAAAATGTTTAAATAAGTCTTGTGCTCCTCGAAAAACTGTTTCATTTTCAACTGGATGTACATTATCATTTAAAATTGTTTGTATTCAACTTGTATTTTGTCAACCTCAAAATTGCACAAAAGCATATACAGTGTCTGTTTCTGTTGTAGACAGTTTGAACACACACTTTCTTGTGCACGTATATAATATACATATGTTTATATTTAATTTTGTATTATTTGTATTCTCTGACTCTGGGATAGTGAGAAACAGAATTTCGATACCCCTGTATGTGTAACACAAATAAAGGAATTGACAATAAAGTTGATTTTGGCTGACTTTGACTTAGTGATTTTTTTAAATACAAAAAATTAAATAATATGAATAATAAAGATAAGTACAAAATAATAAATAAATATAGGATATGTCAAATATTTGTTGTTTTAAAGAAGAATGTTTCAAAAGACAAGATAAATCTTAACTTAACTTTTAACTGAAATTAACTGTTTGCTCTTGCTTTTATTACAAGCAAACAATTAGAAACACTTATAATAAAATACACCATAATTAAAATATAGTTAGTATGTATTGAAATCAAATATACATTGTCATTTAACGCCTTTCCTCTTACTTTTGGCAGCTCTGACAACTTGCACTGTAAAGGCACTAAGAAACGCGCATTAACTTTATAGCTGCAGCTGGCTGTGTGTGAACAGACTGTACATGATTATAATGTGATGTAGCCTATATTGTGTACGTGTACGTTATGGTTATGTCAGAGCCGTAGGGTTATGTCCTTAAACGCCCTGGCGGTCATGACTGGGGCAGCTGTCTAATATTTCGCTGTACAGGAAACGGTCAGTCTGATCTGGCAACACTGATAAGAGGCTCACTTTCAGACAGCTGTAAACATGGGGCTGCAGGCTCAAACTCTTGTTTCTGCAAAGTGGCTTGCAAACATGGTCAACCGAAACCTCGTGGGACCTGGTCTGCGGATCCTGGACACGTCCTGGTACCTGCCCATGATGAACCGAGACGCCAAGAAGGAGTTTGCAGAAACTCACATCCCAGGAGCGTCTTTTTTCGACATTGACGAGTGCTCGGACAGAACCTCAAAGTTCGACCATACGCTCCCAAATGAGCAGTTTTTCGCAGACTATGTAGGGAATTTGGGCATTGGAAATGACAGCCATGTGGTTGTTTACGACGCCAGTGACTTCGGAGCGTTTTCCTGCACCAGGGTTTGGTGGATGTTCCGCTTGTTTGGCCACCCTCAAGTGTCGGTGCTCAACGGGGGGTTTCGGGACTGGGTCAAGCGAGGACATCCGACAACAGGCACGTATAGCCGGCCTGAAGCAGCGCGCTTCACCGCCACCATGGAGCGCTCCTGGGTGAAGTCATTCGAGGACATGACAGAGAACATTAACAGACAACAGTTCCAGGTGGTGGACGTGAGGCCCCGGGAGAGGTTCCTTGGATGGGAGCCAGAACCAAGAGAGGGTATGTCTAATGTTTGCACTTAAGTACTTTTTAGTTGTTGTGCTGCACATTCTTGGAGAGGTGTCATGGCCATTTCCACTGATCATAATTCCATTGTTGAGGTATACTAAAATAGATTTATATTGTGCATTTTTCCAAACTCACATTGGTTTCTCATACAGCATCTCTGTAAACTACTTGTATTCACTGAATTTCACTCTCTGCCTTTAACGGCTTGTTGTAGCTCCAAAAGCTCCAGCCCCCACCCTCCCTGTGAGCACAGTGTGCTCTGATTGGTCGGGACGTTGTGAATCGCGCTGAGCTCCGTGGAGGTGTTGTTTCCTTGTTTAGCATACATAGCGAAACACAGCAAACTCATCCTGAGCACACACAAACTCACAGCCGAAGTAAAAACAATAAGTGTGGCTTGATATTGAGTAAGAAAAAGGTTGATAAACTCTGTGAGAATGGGTCTGCAGAGAGAATTTTGCCGCGATCCCAACTGTCTGTTATCAGCCTGCAGCCAGGGAGGAGAGAAATCAGCAGAGCTGCCTGTGTGTGAGGAAGTCCGTGGATTGGTCAATTTGGACCAGTCAGCGGGGGCTAACGGCTCCGCGGACGTAACTTAACGGCTCCACGGATTGGTCCATTTCGTTCCGGGTGCGGCATGACATCATGCCGTACCCGGAAGAATCAAATGGACAATGACGTATCTCCAACGAGGCGTTTTGGGGAGGTATTTTCTGTGTTACCCCTAGATTCCACCGGGTCCGTCTGCGCCGCGTTGCGGTTTTGGTCCGGCCTCCTCCGGCGTCATACCCTACCAGGCGCGTTTCAGAAGCATTTCAGAAGCGGAGCGTCTTGCCTGCCGGCTCGCAGTTTTTGTTGATTTGGGCATATTTCCTGGACAGGCTACTTTGTACAGACAAAGTTAATAATAACTGTAATATTCCAGTTATAAACGACATGAATCAAAGATGTGTTGCTGGTAAAAAAATGCATTCATCATCATAATTATTCTATATATACAATTTACACAGTGCCTGTAAACCGGAGGAGAACGCTGGCATTTCTCCTCCTACTTGAAAGACTACGGAGGGATAGGGTCTGCAAAATTAGTTTGTGTGTGTGTATATATCGTATATATAGCTCTGAACGTTCCACTTCCTGCCTGGCCGACCTTACGTTACGGCTGTGCCGCGACAAAAATAGGATTCGATCCTAATTTTAGAAGAGCCCTGCGCCGAGCCGCTTCTGGGACGCTTCTAAGCCGTAACGCGCCGCGTGTGGTGGAATAGCACCCATTGACTAGAGTGGCCGCGATCGCCGTGAGCACCGCGGCGCAGCCGTAACGCGCCCGTAACGCGCCCGTAATGCGCCCGTAACGCGCCCGTAACGCGCCGCAGACGGACCCGGTGGAATCTAGGGGTTAGAGTTTTACTCACTACAGGGTGTACTTTGAGGGTTTTGACTCTGCACACCGTTTACATGCATAAAAACCTTCATAACACACAAGGGGACGGGTAATAACCGGAAAAGCATGACACCTCTCCTTTAATACAAATAAATGTGCCGGTGAATCTGGCGCATTTCCACTACAGGGCCTCGCTCGGCCTCGCTCGGTATGGCTAGGCCTCGTTAGGCCTTGTTAGGATTGGCTCACTTTTATGCTGCATTTCCATTACAGTTTAGTAGCTGGGGCAGTGACTATAGTAACGCAGTGTAAGCCGTGACGTCATCTTCAATGAGAACCACAGAAAACCAACATCAGCCGTTAGCTGTTAGCCCTCAGAGCTCACAGCTCCTCATATCTGTTCAGAAACTAGACAAAAGGTATAAGCGAATACAGTCGCTGGTTTATTTATGTCTGTATAGGCCGTTGTTGTGAGTGTGGACGGTCGGAGCATATACTGCGTTAGCTTAGCCGATCTCCATTTAGAAAACACGCATTTTAAAAGGTTTTTTGCCTGCCGTCTGTCTGCAGACTTGTCAAAGCATTAATTCATGGTTTTTACTAACCAGTATCAATGTCTGTTGTTACACTGTCAAATATGTTCATTTTGTTGTAGTTGTAGCCCCCTTGCCAGCGATTCTCTCTCTAGTTTAGCATACTCAGCCCGACTCAGCCTGGTTGTTGGCCCGGAAAGAACCTCGATTTTATGGGGCCAGAAAAACTGTGTAATAGTAGCCTACCCGCTAGCCGGAACTACGCCAAGTGGAAACGCAACCAAAAACGGGCTGGGCACGGCACGGCACGGCACGCTTAAAGCGAGCTCCGCGCTGTAGTGGAAATGCGCCAAAGTCACTACAAAAGGGCATCATTTATATAGCAAACAGTTCCCCTCAAAATCAATAATGCAAACACATGACAGCAGTGTGTAGCATCAGTGCTATGCTAAATGAGTGCAAAGGTCATATAGTATAGGCTAGGCCATTTCTTTGAATGTTGTCACATTGTGTCCACACAATTTAGTATTGAATTTATTGAGATGTGATTGTTTTACTAAAATGTATTTTGAATGTTTTTAATTTAATGTCACCAGACTTTGTGTAAAGCCCCTAAGGATTGGTTTAAAGTACAAAGTGTTTTTCTTCAAAATCATCAACAAACAAGCAACAGAAAAATATATTTTTGTTTCACAGATCCTTGAATATTGAATATTTGATCTGCTTCATCAAGACTTGGTTGTTTGGTATTTGATTGACAGTCGCTAAGAAACTAAAGCACATAGCCAAACAAATATCATCAGACAATGATTCAAATGTTGTTTATTGATGATTGTTCCACGGAAATAGGTGACTGTATATGTGATATATATATGAATAAAACACATATATACTACAGAAATGTATCACATGAAGTAACCATAACTTGTAAATTTAGCAAATAATGTAGGACCCCATTAAGTAAGAGAACATTTTAAAAACAGTGGTATTTAATTGTGCTACACGTATGTCCAAAGATGTAATCTACTATATTTCTTTCCCACAGGTGTCAAATCAGGTCACATCCCCGGCTCTAAATGCATGCCTTTCTGGGAGTTCCTGGATGAAGACGGCATGATGCTCTCCCCGGAGAAGCTGAAGGAGTTCTTTGAGCAGTCTCAGATCGACCTGAACAAGCCTCTCTGTGGCTCCTGTGGCTCCGGGGTGACGGCCTGTCACATGGTGCTGGCTGCTCATCTGTGCGGGGCCCCGGGGGCCACTGTGTACGACGGGTCCTGGTATGAGTGGTTCACCAAAGCTCCACCTGAGCATGTAGCCACCGAGGTCAAACCAGAGATTTAGTTTACCAATCTGCATTAAAAAAACAAAATCACACTATGATACTGATACATTCTAACGGTAATCACAGTCAAATAATCTTCCAGAAATAAACAGAGTTCTAAACTTAAAGTGGACCTATCATGGTATATTTAAATGATATATTGTAGGGCCATACCTATGTAAGGTATATTTATACGTTTCTGTTTTCAAAATACCAAACAGATCATGCATTTTAGCCATGCCTCATTTCGCTCAATTTGCACTTTTTTTAGCTCTGCTCTGCAAGGGCAGATTCAGTGAGAACAGCACCATCTACTGGCCTGGCATATGTACTACAGCGTCTACAGCGCTTTCGAACGGCAATGGCCGTGGCTGTGTCGTCCTGATTGGTGGAGTTGGCCCAATAGCCGTAGCGCCACTGTCCTGACGTCAGGACAGTGTTCAAATCTGGATCAGTTTTTATCAGATCCGTTGTAGCCCCTTTTTTAGAGATTTGGGTATGGAGGAAAATAGAGAGGGTTGTGTTTTCTGACACTTGGTGAGTTCCCTGGAACACCGGGGACACATATGCATTTTGCATGATAGGTCCCCTTTAAGTATATGCTGTGTGTGCTTGTTACAAAATCAAAATGTGGATTTTAAAGAGGTCCTATATGCTTTTGGGGTTTTTTCCCTTTCCTATGTAGTCCTGCCCTGGGGGTCTTCTAAGGCTAAAATCCCTAAGTTCCCTCCTCTTTTTTTGTTTACTTCCTGAACATAATGACATCACTATGCAACGGCTAGCGCTCCAACACATTGTAATGTACATGATAGGCTACTGGGCTGGACCTGGATCTCTAAAGCGGTTGACCAATCACAACAGAGCCGGCCAGCTAACCAATCAGAGCAGACTGGGCTCTGGTTTCAGACAGAGGGTGAAAAGAGGTGCTGCAGCACAGGCAGAATGAGAAAAATAAAGAGCTTTTTGAACATTAAAGCATGGAGACATGTCACAGTAGAGACACTACATACAAATATAACCTGAAAACTAGTATAATAGGGCCCCTTTAAAACAAAGTCTGTATTTTATAAGAAACCAGACTCTAATCTAGATAATGCAATGTTTGCTTTATTGTATTTTTAAACATGTTAAAATAAACTACTGCTGTCATATTACCAAGACAGGCCTTATTTACTGAGAATAATTTTACATTACATGTTACTTGTTAGACGCTTTTATCCAAAGCGACTTACATACTCAATACTGTGGGCAATCCCCACAGGAGCAATTTGGGGTGAAGTGTCTTGCCCAGGGACACAACGACATGCTGACTGCAGTGGGGTTTGAACCCTGATCCGAACACCAATGCACTAGTCCACTGTGCCACACTGTTTTCAATGTTGCTGTTTTTACTCCCCTTCTCCCCCATTATTGGAGTATTGGTGCCATTTTATGATTTTATGTGATTTGACATAAATCTATTTTGTAATAATCATTTCAATAATTTCTTATTAATAAATGCAAGTTTAAGAATGTGTGTCTAATTTTATTTGGTTGTCTTTTTGTTGGCCTATTATCTTCAACTTATGTTATGTTATGTTAAAAATGTTCCTATAAACCCATTGAGTGTGAGGGAGACTTGGTCAATCAATATTTCTTTGACCTACAGTGTGTTGCCTGTCCTCCACTGACAACTAACACAGCCATGGGCGTAGGAAGCATCCTGAATGTGGGGGGGACATCTTTAACGGGGGGTGTGGGGGCGAAAAAATATATAGATTTCCTGTATTCTGGTGCATTTTAACAGGTGGTTTGATACTTTTATGTGGCTACACTAGCATGACGAAAATGATGGGTACATTTTGTAATTTCATCCAGTAGTAAAGAAAGGAAACATATTTGATTATTAATTCAGAGCTGTCTTTGAATTAATAAAAAGCAGTTTAAATGCCCATTTTTTGTACATTTATATACAACAATAAATATTTGTGAGTGCATTGAGAGATATTGTTGTGGAGAGACATTTATATATAAATCGCAAAATACATTTGTGAATCCTTCTGTGAGCATTTATTAATATTGAGACTGATCTGACTCCATACAGATGTTAAGTTCACCTAGGAATGGTATCATTGACATAAATGTTCAAATAAATGTTGCTCTTCTGTCTATATTGGTCATATGATGCCCCTTGACTGAAATGTTTCCTGTTCAATATCCCCACTGATTTCCTTAAAATCCTGGGATGAGAGTCCACATCACAATTTACTCTCAACTGTCATTTCCCTTTCATCACTCACCTCAGCAATGGACCTCTCTCCACTGTCCCTGTATTCTGCCTCTGACTTACTCTCAAGTGCCTAGATGTCAAGAGAGGTGGTGAAGTGATAATTATTTATTGAGCAGTATACTCTTTCACATTGAATCATAACAAGTCATACTGAATGTAAATACAACTGACTCTAAAGTAAGTCCCAGTCTGTGACATTGACCAAGAAAGCTCGACAGCGGCTCTTCTTCCTCCGCAGGCTGAGGAGGTTCAAAATGGATTCCAGGATACTCTGCAACTTCTACAGGTGCACGATAGAGAGTATCCTCACTGGCAGCATGACGGCCTGGTACGGCAGCTGCACCGACCTCGATCGTAAGGCTTTACAGAGGGTGGTGAAAACTGCACAGCACATCACCAGGACGGAGCTGCCATCCATGGAGGACCTTTACTCCCAGCGGCTCAGGAAGAAATCACTACGGATTATCAAAGACCCCCATCACCCCAGCCACAAACTGTTCTTTCTGTTGCCGTGTGGCAGACGTTACCGCAGCATCCGGGCAAGGACAAGAAGATTCGGAGACAGTTTCTTCCCGCGGGCAGTGAGACTGTTAAACAATTGAACTGTTGAAACAACATCAAACATTCAACTGCTACTCAGTAGTATGTATCTAATACCTAATATATATATATCATTCCAATAACTTGTATATAGACTCATACTGCACTATTCACATCATAACTTTATTTCATTTTTATAACTATTATTATTTTTGTATTGCTCTTGCTCTTATTGTTATTATGTTATGTTATTATGTTGCATTGTTGGAGAAGCCTGTGACATAAGATTTTCAACTGCATAATTACTCTGTAGCTATGTCAGATTGACAATAAAGAACCTTGAACCTTGAACCTTGATTGGACATTTTGAAGACTCAAAGTCCCAAGCAGTAGGTAGAATATTAGCTAGTCTATGTAATGTGCACAGAAAATAAATAGTTAACTGAATACTGGGATGGAAACTCCTCTCCAGAAGTGAGACGCCGCCATCACTGTTAACTGATTAACTGCTACCAGCTGATTACTTACTTTCCTCTTCTTTGAAAAAAATGTTCTTATGTCCATGTTGTCTGGGGGAGAAAACATATCAAACCAAGAGATCGTCAGCTTTGATTTTCGCTGTATTAACCATTTCCTGAACATTTGGTGTGTGTGCCTTACCTCCGCTACCGGCATCGCTTTATACAACAGATCTGAGCTGTCCAACTATGACATCACTCCTTGAACATGCGCGCGCTATGTGAGAATCTGCCTTGGTACAAAGTAGCAGTGAAAACATGGTACGGAGTTTCATTGATTTGGGCATTCTCTCAATAAGCAAGTGGAATGGATTTCATTTGATAGTGAAGCACTGACACAGCGCTCTACAAAGTGCGGCGAGTGGATAGACCGATTCACGGACTTTCCGCATAGTAAAAGTGGGGGGGTCTAAACTAATCATTTGAAAAAGTGGGGGGGACTTGTCCCACCCTCATATAATGGCTGCGACGCCCATGAACACAGCTAAATATTTACTTTTCTGGTTACTGAATAAAGGAGCTTTAACTCAATGCCATGCACTGGACATATTCAAAGGGAAAAAAGAGATGACGCTATACTCAGAGTTAGCATAACAAAACCAGGAGCTTGAACTGACTCTCGGCTCGTCATGGCGGCACAAACCCGGGCTTTGGTGTCCTGTCAGTGGCTGGCAGATGCAATCAGAAAGAACCTGGTCGGACCCAAACTTCGCATACTCGACGCGTCATGGTACCTCCCCAAAACCAAGCGCAACCCGAGGGCAGAATTTGCGCTAAAACACATCCCAGGTTCCTCGTTATTTAACCCGGACAACTGCAGAGACAAGACCTCTGCTTTTGATCATATGCTGCCAACTTCCAGCCACTTCTCCCAGTATGTAGGAGATCTGGGCATCGGGAATGACACACATGTAGTTGTGTATGACACCAGTGACTTCGGGCCGTACTTCGCGCCCCGGGTGTGGTGGATGTTCCGGTTGTTTGGACACGGGTCTGTGTCGGTGCTGGACGGGGGCTTTAAGAACTGGCTGGCTGAGGACCATCCGGTGACTTCTGACTACTCCAAGCCGGAGTTTAGTGAGTTTAAGGCGACCCTGAATGCGTCCTGGGTGAAGAGCTATGAAGACATGCTGGAGAACATCAGGACCAAGAAGGTGCAGGTCGTGGATTCCAGGTCCGCGGGGAGATACAGGGGTCTGGAGCCGGAGCCCAGAGACGGTGAGATGCATATTTAAACCACATGTTTTTCCATTGTGCAGAAACCAGAGCAACTAAATTCCTAAGTCTTACATTTCCTAGGAAAAATGCAGGCTTAGTGCAAAGCTCAGAAAGTTGCATGACAATAGTTAATTGCAATTCTGCCAGTTGTATGCAATAAATATAACTGACCATGCCAAAAAGTGTGATTTCAAACACAGTTTGTTGATGTGCACTTATCAATCACAATGACATCCTTGTAGTAGTAGAATAATTACTCAAGATATTTTATTACAGTATAAAAGCACCGCATTTACACTGTAATAAAATATCTTAGTAAAAGTACTGGCAAAAGTATTGGTATCAAAGTATATTTAAAGTAACAACAGTAAAAGTAGTCATCTTGCAGAATGGCCTTTTCATAATTGTATGTGTTATATATCTTGGTTGTAATTATGTATGCATTAGAGATCTTAAATACTTTATTTAGTGGCCTGTATCTTAATCCCTAAAAAATGTAACATTATTTTACTTCTTTATTTATATTTTTGCGTCAATAATCTGAATCTGTATAGTAACTAGTAACCCTAACGATTCAGTAAAATATTGTCTAAAAAATGTAAATACTCAAGTAAAGACGCTTACAAAAACCTCAAAATCATACTTAAGTACTTGACATTAGTAGATCTGCTCAGTTACATTGTCCTACTGAGTAGTAGTTTTGAAAAAAAAGAAATGACCCAAGATCCATTTACTAAATGTATTTTTCGACATATATCGTTATCGTTTTCAAGTTTCATAAGATTTATTGTCATATGCACAATAGAAAGATGGTCAAACTGTCATGGTGCCAACTGAACCACCTTCATTACAACGAAGCATCTGCTGAGGAAGTCCATTAGTAGTGTCTGAGAGCTTCTGTGAAAAATCTGATTAGAGAACCTCAAGTTGTGTTTGTTTTCTTTATCTTATGTCATTATTGTCCCACATGTTCCCACAGATGTTTCTCACTCCTATGTTTCACCCTCACAGACACACTGCCGGGTCATTTCCCCGGTACCATCAACATGCCGTTCCCTTCCTTCATGGACGCCTCTGGGAAGCAGCTGGATTCTGAAGGCCTGTCCAAACTGTTCAGCGTGGCGGGGGTGGATCTGCAGCAGCCGCTCTGGGTCACCTGTAGCCAGGGGGTCACGGCCTGCCACGTTGTTCTGGCCGCTGATATGCTCGGGTACCCAGGGGTCTGTGTTTATGACGCCTCCTGGCGTGAATGGTTTAAAAGGGCATCTCCGGAGTATATCATATCAGAGGGAAAGGGAAAGAAGGTGTGATAAGAAGCAAGGCTCTTAGTTTGACAAGGGAAAGCTTCCAGAAATAAACAGAGTTCTAAACTTAAGTATACGCTGTGTGTGCTTGTTATTTTCTTCCTCCCAACCCCCATCCCCTCAGGAAGCCTTTTGCCTCCTGTCAGGTCATCATTGAAAATAAGAATTTGTTCTTAATTGATTTTCCTGGCTAAATAAAGGTTCTACTACTACTACAAAATCTAAATGTGGATTTTAAAGAGGCCCTATGCTTTTGGGGGGTTTTTCCTTCCCTATGTAGTCCTGCCCTGGGGGTCTTCTAAGGCTAAAATCCCCAAGTTCCCTCCTTTTTTTTTGTTTACTTCCTGAACATAATGACATCACTATGCAATGGCTAGCGCTCCAACACATTGTATGTGATAGGCTAAAGGGCTGGACCTGGATCTCTAATGGCGCATTTCCACTACAGCGCGGACGGAGCTCGCTTTAAGCGTGCCGTGCCGTGCCCGGCCCGTTTTTGGTTGCGTTTCCACTTGGCGTAGTTCCGGCTAGCGGGTACTATTTCACAGTTTTTCTGGCCCCATAAAATCGAGGTTCTTTCCGGGCCAACAACCAGGCTGAGTCGGGCTGAGTATGCTAAACTAGAGAGAGAATCGCTGGCAAGGGGGCTACAACTACAAAAAAATGAACATATTTGACCGTGATTTAATTGTAATACACGTTTCAAAATGATGCCGAAGTAACAACATACTGATACCAGTTAGTAAAAACCATGAATTAAAGCTCCCATGTCATGCTTTTCCGGTTATTACCCGTCCCCTTGTGTGTTATGAAGGTTTTTATGCATGTAAACGGTGTGCAGAGTCAAAACCCTCAAAGTACACCCTGTAGCGAGTAAAACTCTAACACAGAAAATACCTCCCCAAAACGCCTCGTTGGAGATACGTCACTGCCCATTTGATTCTTCCGGGTACCGCCTGATGTCATGCGGTACCCGGAACGAAATGGACCAATCCCGAAGAGCTATGGCCACACCAGCAGCGGCGTGTTCCTCCTCCAGAGGTTCGAAGAACCGGCATTTCACAGACGAAAGCTTCCAAAACATTGCCCAGTTTGAGGCCGGATATGCACAGCTTGTTTGGACCGTTTGGAGCAGGGGAAGATCCGGGTATACAACCTGTAAGTTTGCATTGTTATTTGTGTATTTATCAAACAAGACTGTTTAAATGTGTAAACTGTGTTGGACTGCTAAGCCATTGACACAGTGCTAACTGTGCTAACTAAGTTGCTAGAGTTTCCATATATCAACTCTAATATCAGCAGATGGCCTTGCATACATGTATCTCATAGCAGGAGAATGTCTGCATTCACACACAAAATACCTATTGACAGTATACTCCGGGTGATTTGCCGTGCGGTCAGTCGCGAAACATAATTACATTATAGCTGGCGTAGCGTGTATGCAACCGATCTAACACACGGAGCTAGAGCTAGATTTGGTCGGAAAAACATTTTTGTGATGCTACGTTGCTAGCGTTTAAATATATCAACTACAATGTCAGCAGATGGCCTTACATGTTTGTCATGGCAGGAGAATGTCTGCAGTCACACACACGGAATACTCATACAGTATAGTCCGGGTGATTTACCGTACATTGTGACAGTACATATACTGCATGTAGCTAACGAGGCTAGCTGTATGCTAGCGCAAAACAATGTATTCATGCAAGTTACATTGTATGGTAGCAGAATACCCGTATACGATTGCAATTATAAACACGTTATTGCGAGCCTAATATGAACCACTAGCTTTTGTTCATAGTAGTTTTATTACACTGCATTATAGTTGCCTTTCCTCCAAGCTAACGTTCATATCGTGTTAGCTACCAAGGTAAACAAAAGCTAGGTTAGCATATTAGCAGGCAAGCTGTTCATTACACAACTACTACTAACGAATCTAAAACAACTAAGTTTCTCTAATATTTTGTGATTTGCATTTGATTTCGTCCAGCCAGATCCTGGCGGACAATCCATGACGGGGACGGGACTTCTACTGAGGCCTCGTGCTAAAAGGCACCGCACCGCACCGGCTGTGCGCAGGCAAGAGGAGGAGGAATGGATGATATACCGTGTATATATGTATATTTATGTTCATTTTGTACATTTCTAAAAATAAAGTTTAATGGAAATACTTAGTAGGCCTATCCTTTCTTCCCTGAATTCATATATTAGCAAACCATGATTTGATTTCTCATCAAACAGTAGTAGTTTATTACAGGTAAAAATAACTTACTCTTTGTTATGTCGGCTCGTAGGCCACAACGGAAAGGCAAGGAGACATACACGAGTTTACAAAACCACGGCACATTTATTGTGGTAAATGCAGAGATAGGTGGTCGAGGGGAGAGGGTCGCTCAGTTCGTCCTTCTGCAGCGCTTTGGAGAGAGACTCCGGGCCGCTGGGATTAATAGCACCGGCTACGAAGGTGTCCGTGATCGCGCTGATTACCCTCTTCAGCTCCACCCCACCGTAAGCCCTGCAACACACC